GTAACCGTTTCAGACTCACCTGTAAAGAATTTTTGTCTTCAAGGAAGGGAAGTTTAATATTTACTGTGCAGAGCCCTGTTGTGCCAAAGGAGCAAAGCACAGACAGTAGCTAAACAACAAAACCAACAGTGACTGCAGTTCAATTTATCTATAAATAAATGGGTTTTGTTAGTTAAAAAACCCTTGTAACTCAGAGAAAGTTAAGAAACAACACACGTTTTCACAGTTTGAAGACGGAACAACCTTTCTGTTCTTGTAATCCTTTCCATACTTGAAGACAAAATTTAGCCTCACTTTCTAATCAAGCAAACAAAGCTAAAATTATTTTATAACATAATTGTGTAATCGAGGACAAACCCTCAAAGTGTCATTTATTTTCCAAAATGCCCCTCCCCCCAATTATATCTAAAATAATTATTTCACATCTTTTTACAAATATCATATATGGTCATTTCTATCAAGCCCTCAGATATGAACTTGCTAAATAAATTGACTGCCCTAAGTGAACACTTAGACCAGATACTAGCTGAGTTCACAGAAATTCTATTTTTAAGTCATTCAACTTCATACAGTGTTATATACTATTTACATAAAATTAGATCAGATATTGAACCCTTTTTTTAACATGTGGCTCAACAACAGACTACAAAAGTTTGATGTGCATCTGGAAGCTGGTTAGTGTGGGATATTCAAAATAAAACAATTATGAAAAATTGTTGATCAAGGGTCATTTGGTTCTATTGTTCTATTAAAAGAAATGACTGCTGAAGTTACTAGAAATTGTGGCAGCATCCTATAATCTGTGCAAATGTTCAGGCCAAATAATAACAGTGACACAGCGGTGCATGTTTTCACTGGCAAAAGCAAAATGACGTAGAAAGACATTGCAAAGACATTTCTTTTTTAAAGTCTGAAATAGCCTCGTGATTCCTGGAGATGAATGGGGCTAGGCAGGGTGTAAATAAAAGCAAACCCCTATCTCATGTCACTGTGATTGACTATTACAAAGTTAAAAAAACAAAACAAAACAAACAAAAAAAAAAACACCAAAAAAACCTTCAGTAAAAATAAGTTGTGACTTTTCTGAGCTTCACAGGAAAAATCCTTCTGAAGCTTGATTAGGACACATGACACACACACACACCATAGAGTTTGACAAGTCTTATGCCCTACATATTCACCTCGGTGCACCTTTGCTAGACATAAGAAGTAATTTCTATTTCACTGAGGAGGAGTATAGCACATACATGGGCATGTTCTGGGCAGGTTGAAAATGCACGTGCACTTCTTTGAAAAAGCAGCAGGACCCAGACTTCCATGCTCCTTCTCCTTCTAATGTGCTAAACATCAGGAATTTCACACAAAAATTTAATTACAGAGCTAACCTCTGTCTCAGGGAACCTAAAGCTGTTACATATAGATAGAGACATATACAAACAACTGTATATATGACTCATATCTAATTTTTACCTTTGCCTTGCTTATTTAAATAGGCCAGGTGTTCAAGCCTTAATCTGGAAATAAGCATCCTGCAAACTATGTAAGATTGACTGAAGTATATCCCAGAGGCTGTCTCAGGTTCTCAGGGGCCTATTTTTACCCTGTTTAAATATTTGCTCTCGATTCTATTTGAAACCCAGTCTTCCTAGGGAAAGTTACACTGTTCCGAAGGGGCGTCTTCTAGTGCTGTCAGGCAGGCAGTATACAGTTAAACTTGAGAAGAATGCATGCAGCCAGACCATCTGAAGTATGGCAGATACATTGGTATGAAGGTATTGTTTACACTTTCAATGCAGAACCAGCCCACAGCTCATGTTTGAATAGAAGAGAATAGACTATTTTGGGACCTACAACGATCATCTAGTCCAACTGCCTGACCAGTTCAGGGCTTACCAAGTTAAAGTATGTTATTAGGAGCATTGTCCAAATGTCTCTTAAACACTGACAGTCCTGGGGCATCAATCACCCCTATAGGAAGCCTGTTCCAGTGTTTGACCACCCTCTTGGTAAAGAAATGCTTGATTTAATTGAGAGTCAAAAAAAAAAAAAAAATAAATTAGGTACGTAAAATATCCCTGGAAATAATGAAAACATTTAGCTACTTCAAGTAAATAAAGCCTGAAGTAGTTCTTATGCATGGCCATCTCATCATATACCTTAGTTACTGTCAAGTTTTTATATTTGATACTGCTTCATGGCATTTACCATGGGCCTTTCATTCTGTACCATGTAGAACATGGCAAGTATTTCTAATTCACCTTCAAATTCAAGACTATCACTAAGCCTGGAAGACAAAGGCAATTTAGAGTCTTCTAGGGGCAACATATTCTTTCAGGTGTTTCCTTTTCAGAAAAGCCATCTCACAGAAATCCATGTAGCTTTTTACTAGATACTACATAGATGATGCACAGTAAAAGAAAGGACAACACAGATGTGCTGAAGCAGCTACCTAACATCTAAAGTGGGTATATCTTCGTCAAAAGAAATTTTTGTCACAAGACAGACATTAATTCGTCCCTGAAAGTTTGCAATCCATTAAGATCTTGGCACTAACATTCAGAATCAACTGTACAAAAGGCCAGATTGTGTTTTAAGAGCTAAGAGCTGTATTCCCCTGGAACAACAGAGATCAAAGTCCAGAGCGATTTGCATGAGAGCTTGCTCAAGGAGATTTGTCCAGTTTTATAAGCCAATACTGAATATGCACTAGATGAAAGGGCAAGAATGACCATCCCAGTTGCAATTAGCTATTATCTTAAAATGTAGTATCTTGTGCTGCAGAATGCTTCAATGAAGGCAAGTAACTATTAACACAAAATAATTTCTCCCCCTGATCTATGCAATGATAATTATGGATCTGAGTCTTCTGGACAAAAGGAGAAGATAAATACTAGGCTTGTGACTAAAGAAAATGTCTGAGCTGCTGGTCTACCTGATAAATCTGAAAGCCATTCCTCTAGCTCTAGCTCTTGTTTCCTAACACCTGCAAGTGAACCAAGCTGCAAGATGATGTCATTTATACTTTGGATAGATCTACAAACAAACATGACACTAAAAATGGTTTTGGCTGTTCCAAAATACTACCTTGAACAAAACACACTATTAGCCATAAAAAAGAAGTTAATGAGCTTTAAACAGGAACCACAAATTCAATTTATTCAAAACCTCTTCTGAATTAAGACCTGGGCATCAAGAAACTTTCAACTTCGATCACCCATTTCATTCAAAACATGGCCTTGTTTTTCTGTTATCTACAACAAAGACACTATTATCAAACCACAGTTCAGTTCTCTTGTATTGAATTGTTGGCCAGGATCCCCAAAACCCACAGGCTTTCATTCCACAACCATTGTGCACAGGGATAAATTTGATACCAACTAGGTCTTTTTGACAATGGAATCATTCTTGCAGATTCTCCCCTTCAACACAACCTCACTCGCTTTTAACAGCTTTGGTTTAAGTCTTCCAATGATGACTTCATATACACAGTGTAAGTGGCCTAACAACAAATTGTCATGGTAATTACCTCTCAGAAAGCATGTGGAAACCAATGCACAAGTATTTCACACAACAGATTTTCTAATTAGGCTTCTGTACATGTAGTTTTAACATTCATTTTCCATTTTCACAATATTCTTGTGAATAGTCATATGACAACAGTCATATTTTGTTTAACATTCTTAGATTAGGATCTTCTACAAGAAGTACTACATAATGGAATGGGCATATGGAGCATTAGGGCACAAGAAAATCAGATAAACCCATACATTTACATTTAAAAACACAGAGTTCAAGTATTAGTAAGAAAGAAGCCACAAAAATTCATATTAGTACTTTGAAATTTGGGTTACAGAATGCTACTACATCCAGTGCATCTGCAATTTTTACAGTTTCTTAGCAAACCACTAATTCCAAGAACAGAAGTTCCAATCAAGTGTTGGAAAAATAACATTATCTTAAAATGCAAGGAATTAAAATTTATTTTCTCCTTGTCAGGATGTAAATTTAGGCCAAAGGTCATCTTTTTCTCTCCCTAGGGAAATCTCAGAATTGCTTATTGTACCATTTTACTCTACAAAATTTAGCCCATAGTAATTTGCTTCTATTATGGTGGATACCTAGTATTGCTCCCATATTCAGACTAGATTATTTACTTTACTGGAATGCCTTTCAATAATTAACTGATTAGTATGAGCAGACAGTCTTACTCTGGCTACAGAATTAACATACTCACCCGAACCAATTCTCCTAGTGAGAGGGGTTTTTGTTGGGTATACAAAGGACTTTATAAACAATTTACCATGCATGAAAAAAATCTCACCATAATGTTCACTTTCATTACACACTTCCTTGCGATTTCATGCAAGGAGTGAATAATATATTAGACTATTATTCTCAACGAAATAATATATGTTAATAGAGCATACTAAACAAATTCTGAACTCTACTGTATCCATGTGATCCTGCTGACTGCACTGAAGCTTACTGAATAACCACAGAGTTTGGCTCATGAAGGGTATTCACACTGTCTAGCTAAGATATATAATACTGGCAAATCTCCTCTAGGGTGCAAACCAAGAGTATCTCCATTAAAAATCAGGTTATTGACTTCAAACATAGAAGCTAAAGTAAATATGAGGTGCAGGTGACATGAATAGCTACCAGAATCACTGTGGGAAAAAAAAAAAAAACAAAAAAAACCCAAACAAACAAACAAACCACCACTATTATTTGAGGTTGCTTATAGTCAAAGATTACAGCAAAAAAATATTAGCCAACTTTCACTTAGCCTGTAAGATGACTTCAATAGTTTTGCAGTGACATCAAACCTCAAATGAAATCATCAGTTTCAATAGGAGGACAGAGTGCTTGGATTTTACCTACTTTTTCTTTTATTTCACATAAATAATTATGATTTCTGTAATTTATGTCTCCATAACATGACACACATTGTGTTACCACAAATAACTGAGAGGTAAGGAAAAATAAATTTTACTCACAGATAGTCATTCATTAATCTCTTAAATGACAGGCATCTCCTATTCACACAGATTACCCAAATGGGGGAAACAGTAAATTCTATCTTACAAACTGTAATACCAAATGTGACATGAATTTGTCACAGGATCTGCAACAGCCCTAGACCCATCTTGTCAAAATGCCTTGAGCTACTGAGAAAACTCGAGGCAATTTTCAAATACCCTAGAGCATGACTGTATCCTTATGTTACTTCTCTATTAAGTGGAATCATTGGTGAAGACAAAGTTTTCATATGCATTTAAAACTAATTTTTTTAATAGTAAGAAAAAAAATGCACAATACCATAATTTCCATTAAAAAACTCAAAATACTTTACTTTTTTATTTTACAGATTGCCTACCATTACAAATGTAAATAGTCTATTTGCACAAAATGCTACATTATTGTAACCTATTCAGTGAGGCCACTGACAAATTTATTGATTGTAAACATGACATTCCAAGTCAACCTTCTTACCATCCAAAAGACAACTAAGGACAACAGAATAACAAAATTATATGAGTTACTGTACCAGTAGCACACAGTTACATACATACATTGTATTTAACTCAGTATCACCATCCTCCCGCTATCTTGACCAAGGAAGAAATAAATACCAAAGCTAAATACATAACTCAGTTCCTTCATATCATTTAGGGCTTAATATATCATGCACATAACCATGTTATCTGACACTCTTCCATGGAAAGAAACACAATACAACACAGTTAACTGTAAGATTTTCCATTCAGAAATGTTTTTATCTGTGTAGATTTCTGGCTCTTCAACTGAGGGGTCAGGGAACACCCCCAGAGCGACAAGACACCAGGGAGCAAAGCAATGACCACTTCTAAGAGGAGATTGCTGGGGTCAGGCATGGTGAAACCAGAGGAAGCCCACAGTTGCTCAGACCCACGATGCTAATTCTGTATATTTTTGGAAGGTTGCCAGGACACTCAGGGATGGGAAGAGCCGAGAGGTGACGATGTGGCTTTTGGCAGCTACCCGTGCTATGACCCTTGTTCAGCGCTCCTAGATGGAGCCTCTCACTGCAGCATCGCTGTGAGTCCCAGCCCAGGGTCAAGTGGCTTCCTGCTGCAACACCCAAGGTCATGGGTAATGGGCACAGATACAACTGCAGGGCCAACAAACAAACATTTTTCAGACTGGAAGGGCTGGGCTGTATTTAAAGAATATTGGAAACTTGTTGAACAAATTCTCCCAGCAGAAGCAACCCTTATGAATTTATTTCCAAATTACATGCAGCAAAACAGTCCATCCCTGATGAGTATTTACCATATGACCAAACATCTGATTGGACTAAAAAAACTTTACACTACTAAGCTAATAACTCACAGATTAGTATTAACGCAATGCCATGCACAGACTTGCTTTCCATCTCCACTTGAGTTTTGTAAAAGTAAGTCCAGAGATAGAGTAAGGAATTAAATTTGTGAGTAAACTGTTCAATAACATAGTTAGCTAGGAAGTACATACACACACGTATGCACATGCATACACCTTCTCGTCCTACAGATGATTGTATAAAAACATTAGGATCGTTAAACAGTTTGTCCTTGTGTATTTTGGTTTTAGTCACTCTATAATAGCTAGCAGGAGAAAACACCTTTATCTCGAGTGTTACACACCTTCTATCACACTGATAAGAAATGCTCTGTAACATACCAAAAGATTTTTCTTCTAATACACTTCAGAAAAGATTTAATAAAGATTTTAATTTCAAAAATGGTTTTAGCTAATAAGCACACAATACTCCTCATTAAGGTACGAAGCTTGGGCAATTTGAAAACCCTGTATTTGTCAGCTGGCACTAGATAACTTGCTAAACACCCATCAGTCGCATGTACTGAACAGTAGACAGTCACTAAATCATTCGTTGTTCCAGCAAACACAGGACCCTGTTCAATATACTCTGAGCGTAATAACTTTAGCCAACTTTATAACAATATATATAATAAAATTATAACATTAACTTAATCAAAACACAAGCTAACAGTCTTGCTGTCTTGTTCTGAACATTGTGTGTTTAATGTTTCTTTTGGAAAGTTTAATTTTTACTTGCCTTGTTTATATACGCAATTACAATTCTTTGGTGATATTGCTAATGGCAGGTGTCAGGAAAATGAGACAGGCTGTGCTAAGATATAACCCAAGCTTCTGTACAGAGTGTTCAGCTATTAGTCAGCATCAAAAAATTGGTTAAAAATTTCTACCTTGGGCTCTGGAAACCCTAACTATTCTATTTCTAGTATTTAATCTACAGAGTCTTACAGAAACAGCTCAATCCAGAACAGGCACCCACAGAAATCTTAAACTATACTTGTTATTCTGAAACATGTAGAAACACATGGGAAAAGAATAAATGTTCTTGTCTCTGATCTTTAAGCACAACACAGATTAACTTCAGGGCATGTATGGCAGTGCAAAGTACTACTGCAATCAGAATCCAGATCAATGCAAACAGCTCTTCACAACAGCACCTGGCAAGATGAAAGATCGAAACACTAACAAATGATGCCATAGCCAAAAGTCAGGACAGCAGCAACATGAACTTCAAGGGATAGTTTGGTCTACAGCAACTTGAACACAGGAGCTGGACACACCCTATGAGTGGAAAACATTAACCAAGCTTTGCGTGTGATTATTTGTGCAGTATGTTGATCAATCATGCCACTATGTATCGACATAAAAGACAGATATATGAAATTTATGACCAAATTGTTCTTATTGGTTTTAAACTCTTGAACAAAAAGGTTTGAGAATAGAATACTAATCAACTCTATAGAATTTGCAGTCTCAGTTTGGAGAAATATTCTTATGTCTTGGTTTAATCACAATAGCCAAAAACTCCTCAATATTTTTAATATCCATGTCATGTTATCCAACACTTCTCTGTCCAATGAGATAAATAATTATGAATCTTCTACTTTCACCCATAGCAGAGTTTGGAAGTTTAATTTTCTAAATCAAAGTACTTGACTACTATTAAAGTTTTTACATTGGACTTGTGCTTGTTAGCCTGGTAAAGAATCTATACAAAAGTTTCAATGTGATGTTCCATCCCTTTTAAAAAGGATATTATATTGGGATTTACAAAAGCTCAGCATTCCTGTCTGCCATGCAGAAGTTGGGCAGACTGGGGAAAAATGTTTTATGCATCTGTAACTATTAAGAAATTAATCTATCACAGAACAAATCTTATGCAACACTGATTTAAGTCATGGTTAGGATCCCACATGAAGGAAATCCAAAACTTGGTATCTAAGATTTCTCCAAGAGCTAGCTCACATGTGAAGCCCCAATAGGACCAAATCCTACTGAGTGACCCACTAGCTGTGAATTGTTGGAATATGCTCTTAGTCATTTTAAAGTCATGAGGAATGCGAATGACACAAAAGGTGATATTTAAGGAAAAAATAGAAACAAATATTTTAAAACAAATTCAGCATAACACGAAATCTTAAAATTTTTGCCCAAAGTCGGAGAAAATTTTATTCATAATGGACTGAAAGAAAATGGCTGTATAACTAACCCATGCCTACTCGGTCCACTGAAACAGTACAGGGGAAGAAAAAAAAAACAAAAAAACCCCAAAACAAAACAAAAAAAAACCCCAACCCAACACAACACAAAACCAAAAACAAAAGCCATAGCTTCAGCATGAAAAAAAAAAATCTTCTGTCAGGTACAGAGTACCACCCCCAGCAGTTTTCAGAGAAGCTGTGCCTTCTCTGAAACCCAAGTATGCAGCTGCCCCCCAGCACCAGCAGTTCCATAGCTGTGGTCCCTACTACTGCTGCTGGCTGCACAGCTCATGCAGGGTCCTACACAGCTTCTACACTTCACACTGACCTTCAGGCTCCAAGACATACACACCTATCAAAATTCAAACCAAGGGCAGCATGAGTTGATCTGTACAAGCTGCCCTTGTACCTGTGTACCATTGCAAAGAGGTCTTTGAAAGGTCTACCACATGCATTTACATTTCCAAACTTCCTCCAGTCTTTCTATTAATATCCATATCATCCGTTGTGTAAAAGCTACTCATGTTTAATCTTAAATTACAACAGGATAATTCATTCTGCACTCTGATCTCACTCTTACAGAATTAGGCCTGTTCAGTGAAATGTTACCATCTTATTAATACAAGAAACCAAGCTCAAGTATAAGTATAAGCACTCTTCTCCTAGAACAAAGACATACCTGAAAAGTTTTTCTTCAGCAGACTTTTTTTTTTCCAAAAAGGACTTGGAACATCTCAATGGGAGTAATGGACATCTGTAAATCTTGACATATTCGCTGTGCACTCACTCACCAACCAGCTCCAAGACTTATTTGGACAGATGTCCTGTGCATTTGCAGAAATTTCAGTACTCTTCAGCATTACTTCAAATTTGCTTCATACATGAAAACTGTCAAAGCACCACATGGGCAATCAGTCCTGTCCATGTGGGGTATGGCAGTGACTACACATGTGATGCAAAGGGCATACCCACCATACCGCACAGACATACAAACTCAACTCTCAAGCCTAAAGCACACTTGGCTAATATTTTCAGCTCACTACCTGTGCCTTAAAAAAGGAACACAGATTAGGAAACAACATATTCCTAGCTGAGAAATAAAATATGCGATGTAGAATAAAGTATGGTGAACAAAGTATATGAGCCTATTGTGAGAGTTATAAAATTGATTAAAATTTACACTATTATTGATATTCTGGTAGAAATGTCCCACAACATTCTTCTATTCTAGAAGTAATGAAAATTAAAGATAAAACTTAGTCTCACTCTTTGATAAACGTAAATTAGCACCAAGACCTGAGCAAACATTTGATCAACCAATGTCTTAAACTATAAACAAGATGCTTCCATTACTATCATCTGTATAATATGGCTGGAAGTCTTATATTTGTCTGGGCAATTGGTGAGTTAACTCTCTAGTAGCACAATGAATGTGCATTTTTAAAAACAATTTG